GCTATCGGTGATGGTGGAAAGAGAGAAGATGGAGATTCGGGGATTAGATTAATGAATTTTGATATAAAAAAAGGATAGAGATTTTTGCTCATATTATTCCTTACTTTTCCATCGGAATATTTCGAATGTTCTAAGATCTGTTTATCACTCATCACTATCATAAGAAACAATCGCCTAGTTCATTGTTTATTGGAGAACCACTTTTTTTATTTACTTAAATATCATTTATTATTATTTATTACTAATTACTTTTTCATTATTACATATATCTTTCGAAACGCATATTAAATGCTACTATCGATTCTATATAAAATCTATCCAAACGATAGCCATTTTGCCAGAACCCATATCTAGAAATATAATCGTTTTAACCAAAGGTTGCACTTTTTGGTCAAACAGGTGACAAAGGACCCAAAACTCGAAAAGGGAAGAGTGCTTAACGTGGACAAATGTCGGAAACAGAATACTCGGAGAGAAAAATACAGAATATGATGAGTAATCGATTAGTTAGACTGATCCATTGAAACCATCTACTAATCAAACCAAATAGATAACTACTGTTTCAACCATGTTAAATCTGCCACAAAGTCCAAAGGGATTTGTTTTCTAATTCTTCATTTATTTATTCTATTTCCCATTTTGAGGGAGTGAGGGTGGGTATGGGAAAAGCCATTGGAGACCATATCAGTTAGGGGTGTTCAAATCGAACTGAAAAATCACATCAAATCAAAAAATCAAATCAAATTGATTAAAAAATCCTACTAGGTTTGGTTTGACTTGATTTGGTATTGAGTAAAAAAATCCGAACCAAACCGACATATAAATATATAAATTTTATTTATACTTTTAAGACTTTATAGTGAATTTTCTTTAGAAAATGTAGAAATATTTGGGATCCTCTCGTGTATTAACCTTGAAAGCGTAAATTAACAAAAAATTATTATTAGACGACTAAGAAAATAACTATCATGTGTTACTAAAAAAATTCTCCCAATAGAATATTTTAATAGATCATATGTTTGTCAATTTTTTCCCATATTTACTAAACATGTATTCACTTATCAAAGCTTTATCTATAATTTTAACAAAGTAAGATTGAAATAATATTCATATAACAAAAAATCCGAAAACACGAAAAACCCGACAAAACCGAACCAATCCAAACCGATATAGTTAATTTGGTTTGGTTTTGATAAAAACCGAATCAACCCGATCCATGTACACCCCTTGTATTAGTAATGATATCATACGAGTACTTAAAAGCTCCTACTATTCCACCAGGTTCTCAACCATCTTTTATAGCTTGCCCCACTTCTTTTTCTTTTCTTTTTTTAAAAAATAACCGAGAAATTTAGGCAAATGAGAGTTTGAAATTCGGCGAAGAATGGACCCGTCCATACACCCTTCTCCATTTAAATACCAAAATTTTAGGGGAGAAATTAAAAAATAACCAGATTTACAAGTGGTCATTCAATAATAGCCACAATTTCAAAAGCAATTGAAATTTAGCCATTTTTCATGTAAAGATAAATCTGAACGAAAACACTGTTCAAAATCCGGAAAATACTCCAATATAATATATCGGAGTTCCAGCATAAGTATACTGGAACTCCAGCATAATATACTGGAGTTCTAGTATAATATACCGGTTCAGTATAATATACTAGAAGTTTATACACATGTGCTCCAATCTTCAGTATATTATGCTGGAACTTTCCGCGTGTTGAAGTTCCAGCATAATATGCTGGAGGTTCAAACACAGGTGCACTGATCTCCAGTATATTATGCTGGACCGGTCCCTGTTGCAGCAAAATAGTAGGGGGGTTCAAAACCGAACCGAAATCGAAAACCGAACCGAAGCCGAAGTTTAATGGCTTATTGGTATCGGGTTAACGGTTTAATAGTCGGAGAACAAATTAAATTTTTTTTTATTAACGACTTATCGATTTGGGGGCGGATTATTCAATNTTAGAATAAAAGAAAACCAAATAAAAGGAGTCATCTAACTGTGACAAAAGACAGAATTTGTTGTATGAAACAAGATAACAATACCAGTTACACCACTGCTTCATCAACTTTGCCTGGGTTTTAAAGCATCCTAAAATTCTAAGCATGACGAACATTTATTTTAACAACTGCCAATTGGAAATCTTTCACATGGACTAAAGCCAATGCGCATAAACATAAATAAGATTCTAGACAGATGATTTACCCATCACGGTGCCTCTTCTGCTTCGTTCCTCTTAGTACGTCGACCATACAGAGACTAAATTTTATTTTATTTTGATTGAATTAGGCCGATAAACCGCTCGATAACCGCCCGATAAGAGCTAAACCGATACCAATCCGCCCGATATCTTATCAGGTGACTATCGGATTAATACATTTAAAAGCCGATAACCGATAAGCCAAACCGTTAAGAGTAAATAACCGCCCAATCCGCCCGATATCTTATCAGGTGACTATCGGATTAATACATTTAAAAGCCGATAACCGATAAGCCAAACCGTTAAGAGTAAATAACCGCCCAATCCGCCCGATAAGCAGCCCTACAAAATAGTGAATATTTTTTAATAATTTTGCAAACACTGGCTATTTTTGAATGACCCATCTGAAAATTGGCTAGCCCGTACTATTTTAACGAATTTTATCAGCGGTAAAATTAGAACCCAAACAGCATGTGTTGCGTAGTTGCCACTAGTCCAAAGCCTTGGGAGTAAACTTGCCACACTTTTAAGTAGGACTAACAGGTATTTTGAAGATGGCAATAATAACATTAATAACTACTCAAATCCCAAGTTTGTCGCGGTGGGTATATCAACTCATTCTACTATTTTTGCTATATTTCAACTTCATTGTGATATTCAATAATATGAGGCCTTCTACAAAGTACTTAATCACAAATCATGTTGAAATTGATAATTGGTGGTTTAGCTGAGGCACTTGAGATGATGGGGTAAGATCTTCTCTTGTAGTTAAAAACTGCTAAAAACATGAATACAAAGTACTTAATTACAAATAAGAAAAGTGAGACTTATCTAATGAATCTCTAATGAGTAATAAATGGGTTGTGCTATGACAGAAATGACGATTCTATAGTGCACAACTGTTTTTTCAGTTCGATCTAGGGGTAATATATGGGTGTGTTAGAACAAAATTTGATATATACCCGATGCTTTTTTTGTGCATTCTCAGTCTTGGCTGCGATCAAAGTCTAGCTTAAACAACAAAACATAGGAGTATAAGATAAAAATAATGTGCACTTTCCACCATCGACACACTAGCATGACTATACATAAGCATTCAAACATATGAGTACTTCAAAATAAAAATGTATTCTATTGAATTTTTCCTAAGTAAAAAGTTGACTGTTGTTATACATAGTAGAATGACTCAGATTACATGGGATCGAGTCAAGACTTTCCCAGAGGGAATGGAGAGGAACCATATGGAGCATACACAACTTCAAGGCAATACACTTAAAAGGTCTAATACATTGTACATCCAAATATTATAGGGAAACTAGCTCCCAAGTGCCTTCATCCGACTACTTGTACAAGAAGCCGATACAAATTATCACATTGTTTGAACAATACCCAGAAAGATATAATAAAGGTGTGAAAGGAGGTATACATGTAAAACCCTTAAAGATGGGTTAACAATGAAAACATTGTGAACCAAAAAATTTACCGTATCATGGTGGATATATTATACCCGAGCTTTGTGAAGGAAAATACCATAGGTCATCCAGGAAAGACTGCTTTTTAAGTTTGGTGTTGCAATTTCACTTTCAATGCTTCAATTACTGCAGAGAAGTCCTGGTCGCTTAGACCATGAGATTTTGCAACCTTGTAAAGCTCATTAGTTGCAGCAGCAATTGGAGTGGGTTGTGAAACAGATTCAGCCAAACCCAGAGCTAGACGAAGGTCCTGAAAAAAGCATATTTTTTTCGGTTAGAAGCAACTTTAGGTTTGCATATAGGAGGCAGTCTTGGAATGTTAGAAAACCTTTTGCTGATGCTTCAGAGGAAACGCTGTTGGATACAAAGATTTAACCATTGAAGGACCTTTCATGGCGTACATTGGAGCACTAATAGCACCCTGCGAGATCACCTGTGCATAACCATGGTGCAAAATTAGTAACAGTCTAACAGATATTAGACGTATTTCTGAGTTCAATGCACCTTGTGAGCATCTTATACTAGGAAATCCTTTGAAGATGTCATTATTGAAAGGATGAAGTTCTCTGTGCATATAAGAGGCAAAAAGAAAGTTGTGAAGTCTTTACCCTGTGTAAATTCTGTACGTACTTGAAATTAAAATGAAGATGAGTTGATTTCATATCAGCAAGTCAATTAAGGATTCATGTATATGTTCTCATTTTACTTTTACTAGGGTGAAATTATCGATTTTAAATCTTTTTCATGCCATGCATTGTCCGGAAACTCGTGATACTATTTTTAAGCCAGTTCAGTCATTTCACTAAGTAACTATCTCTATAACTTTTCCATACTCAACAGCCTCACAGATGCTGCTCAACATCCTTTTAAGTATCAGCTTTCAGCAAATAGCATGGTCATGGACCAACCTCTCTCTCTCTCTCTCTCTCTCTCTCTCTCTCTCTCTCTCTTTCCTTTTCTTTTCCCTTTTATATTATTGTTGGCCTAATCGTATCCTAATAAAGGTAAAGTCTCAGCAACTTCAATCGACATGGAATTCCAATCTTCCTCGGAAATCTAAAAGGATAATTCTTTGGGAAGTTATCAACATCAACAATCCTACCAAAATCTAGTTCAGAAACCCTAGAGAGCACAAAACATGTTTCTAGTTGTATTGTTCTCTTCATTAGACAAGTTATTTGCGACTAGGCAAAGAAAAGAAAATTGTGCAAGATAATCTATAAACAATCAAGAAGATAAAGTGGTGCAAGAAACATATTTACAAGGGGCCAGCCTCAAAAATAAGCTATCTGTTTTATCAGGAAATACCTCTACTAATACACTTGGATCAAGTCCAACTTTCTCGCTAAGTACTAATCCTTCAGAAAAGGAGGCCATCATACTGCAATTTTTTTTTTTGTGAGAGAAAGGTTGACATTAGCTTTAGTTAGATAGAACAAAACTATGAAGAGATGAGAAAAAAATTAAAAAATAGAACCTTCCCATAACCATATTGACGACAAGTTTCATTGCAGCTCCATTACCAACTTCACCGAGGTAAAATCTTGACTGAGATAAAGGGAGAAAATATTAGAAGGTGCAAAGAGTTGCATCGCTCAGTGAAGGGCAGAATGAGACCTTCCCCATGATATCCAACAGTGGAGCAACTGTTTCATACAGCACGTTGTCACCTGAAAGGTTTGCAGCCATGGTTTGGACTTAATTCTTGTTCTTTGATAGTCTCAAGAACTGGACTAAACAATTTTTGTCAAAATCAGAGAGGTACATGCATTGCCTGTGGCTATAGTTCATTATATATTATATAGATAAGGTATTATGTGAAAAATTTTAAAATCAACAGTTTGTCAAATAATAGGTTGTCCTATTTATGAATAAAGTTCAAGTAATCTATATTAGATAAGCCTTCGTGCGTAGTTTAACTGGCACAAAATTTAAGAAAGAAATAAAGATTTTTGGAACGTTTGGTCTTAAACATGTCAAAACATTTGTGCGATATAAGATTTTTGAAACTGTTGGTCCTAAACGTGCCATAACATTTTTGTAGGTAAAAGCATGTCATTAAGCAAAAATGAAAAGTTTAAGTTAAATTGTTTCGTAAGGAAATAGTGCCAAAAAATAAATCCAAATAAAATGGAACGGAGGGAGAACAAATTAAAGGGTGATCTTCAGATGCTCCCTCCTAATTTCCTAATCTGTGTCATGCTTCTAAGTTTACAGTGTCAATCCCGTCTTCGTTTTCTGAAACTGGTATTAATTTTTAGAAAATGTGAACTAAGAGTTACCTAACAAGCTTATGGTCAAACTTCAGAAATTCAGTCTTGTGTGGGTGAGGGTTAGGGTTAGGGGGAGGGGGGCAGTTAGATGTTGCATCTATATTAGGATCATTAATCATGAAATTAATGAAGAAGATCGGACTGAATAAAGGCAAACTAATTTCATTATTATGAACATATAACAATATTTATGACATGCATATTTCATTGCCAATAACTCAAATATAGTGAAGGGAAAAGCTTCACCTGCAGTGAGAAATATTAGCTGTCCATCTTCTGCTGGCTTCTTGGACCCTGATACTGGAGCCTTTTCGACAAATTGGAAGAAACATGGGATGTTATTCAACATGATGTAACACAAGACAATATTCTGTTGTTATTTCATTTTCTTTTGGCCCTGGAGAGCGGTGGGGTCGTATAGTGGAAGTAATAGCTTTCATATGCACAATGCTTAACAGGAGAAGGAAAATTTTACCTCCAAAAAATGAGCTCCAGTAGCTCTGATATGCTCACAGATCAGTTTAGAAGTTTCACCGTCAACTGTGGAAACATCTACATAACTGCATTTACATATACCAGAGTGCAAAGCTATAAATGAAACTCAGACAGCAGTATGAAAGCCATAGAAAAGCAACCAAAGAAACTTGTGTCCATCAAATGCAATATCTATTTTAACAAATATATAAAATCACTAGGATAATTTAATTACCAACATTAGGTACGAACAAACCTTTATAAGGTAGGGTTAAGGTCTGCGTACATACTACCCTCCCAGACCCGCTTATGGGATTACACTGGGTTTGTTGTTGTTATTGTTTACATATGAATAAAAGATTGACCTAGAATATGTCACCATGGTTTAACTTGTAAGTAGTTCCTCTAAAGTACAGGCAACTTTGCATTTCGTCTCATTCCAATTTCTTGCATCATTAACTATCATAACCTCACGCTTCCAGATATAACTAAGCAAGACATCTATGATCTAACACGGGGAAAAACAGTTTTTCTAGTAAATCATTTTAGAATTAGCAAAATCGGAAAAAGCATTTGCTGCACTTCTTGATTAGAATCACTTCCAAACCCTGTTATGCTTACAAAAAATTTCTTCCAACCACTAATCAGAATTCTATACGTGTCATTCAGTGCTAAAGATGCAACAGTAAAGTCCAAACTTTACAGTTTCCAGAGCAGAGAAGAAGCAAATCATACCCTTTTCCTGGACCCATTCCTTTTGCAGCTCCATATTTTCCACAAGCAACATCCACCTGGAAAAATACCGCACTACTATCAAGATGCTGACTAGACTTGTCAAGTATATAGAAAGACAATAAATTGCACACAATAAACTCAAAACTCACTGCACTCTCAGGGTCTGCAAGCATAGCAAATGTGACATCACAAGATGCTGCAACTTCCTCAGGGGAGGACTTGTATCTGCAGAAAAGAAACCTCAAAGTTACTTCAAAATGCAAATTATCAATAAGCGCAAGAAGTAACAGTAGTTGACAAACTTTACGAGATCTGATACATGGCCAGACAAGCATTAGCATAGAGTTCGCACGGTGCGTCATTGTTGGTTTATTTTATAAATTTAAACCCACATTTCCAGGATGCCATCTCAACCGAACACAAGTCCAGTTTAAAGCAAAATTGGCATATATATACTTACTTTGCACCCATGGAGATAAGGGGTTCACATTTGCTCTTGGTCCTATTCCAAACTGTCACAGCACGTCTGCAGCATGAGAACGACAAATACAATAAATTGATAAGAGTTTGTATTCGATTTATTCAAAAAAAAAAAAAAGGTGTTCAAGTATAACAATCATGTTTCAGTGCTCCAGACAAAAAGGTGTGTCTGCTCTGAACATCTTTTGCATTATCAACATATGCTTCTGAAAGATCACCAGTTTATGATAATCATAATTCTGCTGGTTAAGGAAGAACTACAATGATGAGTACGAAGATAGCAATAAATGTTGTTCCAGTGATTCATGTAGTACAAAGTGGAAAAATATTGAACTCCATTAAATTTGTCTATCGAGTAACATTTGTAACGTGCCCTGCTTTTATGAGATTTTGTGCCATGGGGGAGCCCATAATCCCAAGACCTAGAAAGCCAATGCTTGCTGGAGTATCATCAGCTGCAAACAAACTAAAACACCAATCAGACAAAATGCAACACCTAAACTTCCTGTCAGTTGTAAAATAGCATATGAAATAGATAACTCAATGCAAAACGACAGCTTATAAGAGGAAATTCAGGTTGTTGACAATGACAAAATCCTGATATAATCAATAAGTTCATCCTATTTCAGTTTTAACATGGTGCAATGATGCCAGAATACTTTCTTCTTGCTTTCAGGTGCAAGGATCAAGAGAAATGCCCAGATATCTTAATGCTTTGCATAATAGACTCAACTCTAAGCAGCCCTGACAAATCAACTTTAAAAGCCCATCCTGTTGAACACCATAGTTCAGCTTTTACATATCAGAGCTTTATATATCCAGAAGTCTTAAAGACCTTAAATTTTTCTTGCGATAACAAGATGTCTTTTCTTAAGATTATATAAAACAAGGAAAGTATAGTATGCTTAACAAAATACACCAAAATCTAAAATTGATTCGTGCCCACTCCAGAACCACCAAGCGAATAAAAAAGTAGAAAAAAGCTTCCTCTGTCCATTTCTACATCTACCAGATTGGTACATAATCACAGTACAGCCAGAAGCAGCAGCCGGTATAGTTTGCATAAGCAAGTTCATGTAATTTGACTATTGGTGATTCATATACAACTTAGTGGCTTACTTAAATTCAAGTTGTGTCCTAGATAGTCTACTTTTCTGGACACTTAGTGGAGGAGATAAACAAAAGGGTATAATGTCTTATTCCAGAAAAGCAAATAGGAATTTTATAATAAATTTCTTAAACTCCAACGCTACTTACAGATTAATCTTCACAGAATGGTAAACAAGTTCAAACTAGAGAAACAGAAGTGTAACGAAATTGGACGGAAAAAACAAAAGAAAGAAGAATGTACCTTTGGGAGTAGAAGCAGAAGTTTGAGAAGAAAAAGCCTTGAATGAAACAAAGAAGCTAGAGGGTTTATTAGCTGGGGGAAAGGAGAAGGGTTTACAATTTAGCTGAGTGGATACCCGGGGACAAAATGTGGAGCACATTGCCATGGCTGCAGATGGCGTAGAAATTGGAGGTGAATTGAAGAGCGCAATAGATAGGATTTCGAAACTGCAATTGGGTTTAAGCATCAATGCTTTGGCCATTCTTCGCTACTCTGTGAGTTTCAGGGTATGGTCAGCAGCAGACACTTGTCCTTTCGCTATCTCTTTCACAGTCCTCTAAAATAAACCATTGGCTGCTTGGCTCAGCGGAGTTCAATATCCTTCGTGTAGGTTTGGCTATCAACTTTAATATTTGAAATATATAGGCAGAATATTTTAAAAATAAGATAAGTTTAACTTTCATATACTCTAAAAACTTCAACCAAATATTGTTCTTACACCTACTAAATATTTTAGTCTAAATAGTGAACATAGACTCTCTCTATCCTAGACAAAAATAAGGAGGACAATAGATCTCCAGGTTCGATTGAGAAGTAGTACTCCCTCCATTTCAATTTAGATGTGGTAGCTGGTTTTCCGCGAAATCTATTTCAGTAGAGCGTATGATGTCGATGGCCCGAGGTAGAGCACTCAATGGGCTAGGGTGGCCTCATTTCGCCTTACCAACCCCAGGGAAACTCCGAATACAGGCCTAGATCGTTTGTACAGACAGACTTTTTGGGTGCTTTCGGTACGAAGTTTTAAAAAAAAAACTTTTGAAACTTGTGGTTTTAAAAGCTTAAGGAGTAAAACTTTGTGGGGGTCATAGCATTTGTGTGATTATAAAAGTTTCTCGTTAAGGGTAAAATAGGTAAAATGAAGAGTTTAAAATTGAATTATTTTCAATTATTGAAATATGTCATTCTTTTTTGAACGGACTAATAAGAAAAGTGTGTCATCTAAATTGAACAAAAGGGAGTAGTAATTAACAATTAGAAAACTGGGGTGCACCATCCAAGTGTGCGTCTTTTTAAGTACGGAAAGGGTCCAATAATATCCCTAAACTACTGGTTATAGAAAACTTTTGTCCCCCGTTAGTAAATTGGACCAAAAATATCCCCCACATTAGCAAATTGGGCCACTAATGCCTTCAACCAAACGACTAAACACACAAGCCTTCATATCAGCATTATTTAGCTGACGTGACATCCACATAAGCTGACATGACATCCACATAAGCGGATCCACATAAACCTGCTCCGATATCCAAATAAGCGGACCTAAAAAAGCAAAGAGTCAGTAACCACAACCTCCAAACCCCATTTCCAAACATAGTTCTTTCATTAACAGAGGGGATTTGAGAGTTGAGGGGATGATACGATCGAGCAAGGTTTACAACACAAATTGAAGATCATCTGAAGATATTCAGATAATTTTCCCTTCTATTTATTGGGTCTTTGTCTCGGACAAAGAGATTATTCAAATTTTTTTTGTAATTTTCTAGGGTTTTGTCATGTTCTGGTATTTCTGATCCTGCGGCATAGTGTATAGTGTTTGCATGTGGGTCTGGTACTCTTTTTGTTTGTTATCTTTGTTGTTTTCTTATGTGGTGTCAATTTGTGCCCTAGGTCTACATCGTCTTTGGCTGCAAGTGTCCTTTTCACATATTTTATCATAGTGTAGTAGGGTTGGGTTGTTGAAATCGACAGAACCATGTGCATTTCTTCTTAAAGACGGTGTTTTTTTTCTTTCCACTGTGGTTTGAAATCGACAAAACATGTGCTTTATCTCTTAAAGTATGTGCTTTATTCTTTCCACTATATTATATGCAGTAATTTATTGTATGTTCAATATTTTATTGTCAAAGTTGTTAAATTATTCACGTGGCCCCTCTATGTTTTCTTTTGTGTCTATATCATAGATATTTCAATATGGGGGACCACAAAGAGCTAATTTCAGGTCAATATTGGTGTGAATTAGGCACTGATTGTGAATCTGATAGTGATAAAAGTTCAGATTATGGTTCAGATGCTGGTGAATATGATTTTGAAGAATTAGAGCTACTTAAGATGCACAAGGGTAAAGAAGTTAATGATAAACTTACTCACTACAAAGAGCTTGATAAGTCAATGACATTTAAGGACTTGGAAAAGGTCAAAAAAAAAAACATGAACTTCTATGCTATTGCAAATTCCAAACCTTTGAAGCTTAGAAAAAGTGATAAAATAAGAACAAAGTATAGATGTGTAGTAGGCTGCCCTTTTGTATGCCTCATCTCTGAAGATAAGAAGGGTCCTGGCTTTAAGATAAAAACATTAAAGACAAAGCACAACTGTAAAGATGTATTTGAGAATCCTAGAGCCAAAACAAAAACTTTAGCTGAATATTTCAGGAGTAAGGTGCAGAATAAACCCAAGTACAAGATAAAAGATATGAAACTAGATTTGAAAAATCAATTTTCATTGAATATACATAACACCACATTGAAAAGGGCTAAGAGGATGGCACTTCAGCAATTGCAAGGAAGCTTTTTAGATGACTATAACAGTTTAGAAGCATATGTGTAACACCTCAAAATTTTAATAATATTTGCATTCTTGATTGAAAATTTTTTATGACGAGGAGATATTTTACTTTGCACTTCCTAAACGTGAAATTAACAATATATGAATTTTTTTTATTTTAGGTTGTGTTAATATTGACAAAGAAGCTCCATGTTGTTGCTATGTGTAACACTTAATATTATTTTGATGAATTTTTATTAAATACATTATATAGTTAAGTTTTTGGGCTGCCAACCTTTTGTATTTATCTAAAGATATTAGTAGTTTGGGCAGCCACATTTTTCATATTTATCCAAAGTTTAGATATTACTTTAGAAGATTTACTTTTCCATATCCTTCTCTCTTGTTTCATTCTTGCAAGACAAAAAAATAAAACTACCTATCCTCTCTCCTTCTTAGCCTCTGAAAACTTCATGAAACCACCATAAATTTCTACTAAATCAACCAGCAAAATTCGTTTTTGGTGAGGATCAAGTTGCTCATCTCTTTTGTGGTAAATTTCTAAACTCGTTTTTACACTAGACAACTATTAGTATTTTCTACATATCTTTTTGTACATAGCTTCGATTTAAGTGATCCAAGACTTTCTGGAAAGGTATTTCATAGATCTATAACTCTTATGAAGAAACCAAAATCTAGTTTTGCAGGTATTAACCCGAAAAGGGATCAGAAAGTACTGGGCAGGTGCTGCCCAGGTTTTCAGTTTTAGAAATATTCCATGTACTACTGTTAGTAATTTTAGCATAACTTTTTGTACAAAATAGATATGGTAGTGATTCAAGATGTTCTGAAATGCTAAGATATAGATCTACAACTTTTACTAAAACTATACAGTCTAGTTTCTCCGTTATATCTTCAAAACTGAGCCATTACACAAAATAATGATACTGTCCAGAATTTCTATTTCACACATTTTTGGGTAATTTTCACCAATATCATGTTTAGTTTGACATGTTAAATCACTAAACTTATTTAGATATTTGATTATGTATTTAAGGTATATAAACCCTTGAAAAATCAAAGGGAAAGTGTTTGAGGAAGTGGACGGATTTGGTTTGTTTACGGCGTAGACGATTCGAACGTCCCCAAGTTGTGATTGAACTGTTTTGTGGTAAAACACCAAGGTTTGTGTATAAACTTTATACTCTTTTTGCATGCTGGAATATTTTGAAATAACCTGATATTTTATTTTGTCTTCAATTTATATTGTTATTTCGTATTATATCAAGTATTACAGTGTTAAATCGCCCATTCATACGGATTGTTTGATCATTTTGCATTCTTGTTGGGACTTTGTACTTCTTGTGGCAGTGACCTTGTCACTCATCTTGGCATGTCTCTTGATTTGGATCTTTTGCCATCTTGACTTTGGATTTGTAATTAGTACCTTCAGGATGCATTGGATAAGGAAAACTATGTGCTTCAATCAAGATCTGCTTCCTCAATTCATCATCATTAGGAACACACAACCTATTTTTATAAAATAAGGTACCATCTTTCTTTAATGAAAAATCTGATTCTCTTCCATTTTGGACTTCTTCAACCCGTTTCACAAGCTTCTCATCTAACTTATACGCTTCTTAGATCTGCTTAAGTAAGACTGGCTTGACTTGCAAATTAGCAATGATAGAACCATTAGAATTAAATAAAAGGCAAACATTCATGGCTCTTAATTCAAGAGCAAAGGCAAAGGACTTAGAGTTAAACTTGCAAGGGAATTGCGACTCAACGCATCTGCAACCACATTGGCTTTACCAGGATGATAATCAATCATGCAATCATAATCTTTGATGAGTTCAAGCCATCTACGTTGTAAGTTTAACTCTTTTTGTGTACCAAGTACTTCAAACTCTTGTGATCAGTAAATATGTGACACTTCTCTCTGTACAAGTAATGCTTCCAAATTTTTAAGGCAAAAACAATGGAAGCAAGTTCAAGATCGTGAGTGAGATAATTCAACTCATGCAATTTCAACTTTTGAGAGGCATAAGCAATTACTTTCTCTTCTTGCATCAAAACACAACCCAAGCCATAGTGAGATGCATCACTGTATACCATATAATCTTTCCTTTCAATTGGCAAAGAAAGTATTGAAGCTTGTGTCAACAAGGATTTGAGATTTTCAAAGCTCTCTTGACACTTGTCATCCCATACAAACTTGGTATCTTTCCCCAAAAGTTTGGTCAAAGGAGAAGCTATAATAGATAAGCCCTTTACAAACCTCCTGTAGTATCCTGCTAAACCCAAGAAACTTCTTATTTCAGTTGGAGTTTTAGGGATTTCCAATCAACAATAGCTTGAATGTTACTAGGATCAACCTTCACACCTTCAACTAAGGCTGGCAAATGGTCCGGGACCGATCCTAAACAGGTTTCGCGGGACAGGCTTAAACGGTCAGGGCTCAAACGGACCTGATCTTCGTGGGCTGGGCTTAAACGGACCCGAGCTTCATGGGCTTTTGGGTGTAACCAGACCAGGACCGTGTAGTAATGGTCCCGGGCTATGTTGGCCCGGCCCGGTCCTTAACAGGCTTTGACTATTTTTTTTAAATTTTTTATCTAAGGCAATTTCTTGTAAATTATATAGCTTATATATATATATATAAAATATGTGGGGCTATTTATTTGTTTAAATTTTTTATCTAAGGCATTTTCTTGTAAATTATACTATATAATTGTAACTTAAAATTTTTTAATTCAAATTTAAAACACAAAATATTGTAAAAAGATATTCAAAGGAATGCGTTATAATTTTTATTATTATAACATTAAGAAAACATGGTCCAATCTTTCTT